GCAGCCATTTTGAGAGGCAGCAGCCATGTGATCACATCTCAAAATGGCTGCCGCCTCTCTGCTGCTTCCTGATGGTCAGCTGTTCGGCACTAGAGTCTGGCTGTTCCGAGGCTACCAAGGAGGAGCGGGTCTCAGTCTACTGAGTCTTACTACCAGGTAGGTGACTTCACTGGGAGAGAGCGAGGGGTTGCTGGAAGTACACCTGGTGTATAAGATGACACCCCCACTTGGAGGCATGTTTTTCAGGGGGAAAAAGTTATCTTATACGCTGGTAAATACGGTAATTGCAATATATTCTTATTGTTGTCCCAGTTCTGCTTGTTAAAATTTACCTCAGAGAATCTGGTTTCGAATCTCCCCAATGTAATCTGCTGTTTCACCTGCTTCTAATAGATTTTTGGGATTTTTGTCCTTAACTAAATAACGCAATTCCCCAGGTAAAATAGAATAAAATTGTTCCAACCCAATCACATTTTTCATCTGCTCAAGAGAAGTGACATTTTTACCTTCCATCCATTTCTCCAGACATTGAACTGATTTAGCCCCCAACTGGGAATAAGATTCCTCAGGTTTTTTGGTAAGAGAACAAAATTTTCGCCTCAGGTGTTCTGCGTTGATACCAAATTTAGAATAAACCATTTTTCTATAGGCCTCAAAATCTCTGGCCTGCTCTAGAGGCGTCTGTGAATACAACTCAGCTAAATCTCCATTTATTTGGGATCTTAGCATTATCAACCTTTCTTCAAAGGAAATGAGGAAAGATTCTGGGCAGTCATCTTTTCTATATTGGGGAAATTTCTTTAGATCAATCTTTGAGAGAGTTCCCTCACTAGTGCTGTTATTGTTGTTATTTTGAGACGCCAATTCCAATTGTTTCATCTGTTTTTGAAATTCTATCTCTTTTTGTCTTCATTCCTTTTCTCTTTGTCCATTTTCTTGCTCAAATGCCATTTGTCTGGCCTCTCGCCCAGCTTCTTTTCTCATCTCTAGCTCTCTAGCTCTGGCTTTTTCTCTAATTTCTAATTCCCTGGTTCTTTTTGATCTCTAATTCTTTAAAGTTGAATTCCTGTTGTAACCTCCATTTTTCAAACTCTTGGGAGCTTAGACTACTTTCTCTTCCTGAGGCACCCTCATTAATCTCCTTCTCCTGTTCCTTTGGAGTTAAAGGATCTCCATTTCCCTCCACTTCCTGAGGTAAATTTTGTGCCTCTTGAGGATCAGTTTTCTCCATTACTGACCTTTTAGTTCTTTTGGGTGGCATATTTATCTGAGTAACTTAGTCTTGAATGTGTTTATACTGAATTTAAAAAAGGACCTGTCTTTCTTCTTTTACTTCCAGTCACTGAAATAATTTCTATTTCAAACCTCTGCTTTTCTTCTATTCCCTCAGATCTCTTCTGACCCCTGGCTTCTGCTTTTATGCACCAGCGCTCCCTTCTCTCAGAGCCTTGGATCTTGTTAGCCACTAGGTCTTGCAAATCCTGATGTAAAAACAGGAATTTTTTTTTCAGAGTAGTTCCCTATCTTTGTTCCCCAGATCTGGGATCAGAAGCCCCACCATTAAGCTTTTCCCAAAAGCTCTAGTGGGTAACCTACTTCTTCACCACAGACCTCTGTCTAAAAGGTACCCTTGACTCAAACAAATTTCACTTTAAACTCAGGCTTTACTGGATTGCTTTGTATCCCGCCGCTGGACACCAATTGTGACATTTGCCCCTTTGTGGCCCCTGTTTCTCTCCCCAAAACAGAAAGCTCATAAAGGCAAACCAAAACAAACACCTTTTCACACACTGCCACCAGTTGATTACTAAATCAACGTACTTTACTTAGAAAAGACGAAGGTCCATTCATCACTGTATTTTGAATAAAACAGGTTTATTGATTACAGATGTTTCTATAATAATTCATAAGTATCTTTTTCAGGTTCATCAAGCATCAATAACAACCTTCTATATTATCTTACAGGTTACTATTCATTCCTCAGACTAATCACTCCTCAGATTCCCAAACTAACTCTCTCTCTCTTTCTCTCCCTTCAAACTCAGATCCAGACTCACTTCAAACTCAGATCCAGACTGCTCCACTTTTGACATCTCTAGTGGCCCCACCTCTCAACCACATCAGCATAAAACATGAATAATGCATGACTTAATTAACATAATAAGGTTGAACGCCACAATAATATTTTATGTGAAGGAGTATTTTCTTTCATCCTCCAAATCAGCTTCATTTTGTCGAATCAAGTTTTAATATGACAAAAGAGAAAGGATAAAGTTACGTACTTTCCCTATCTCATGCGTGATTTTATCATCAGATTTCATCTTTGCTTAACTATCTTTTTGTTTTCCTAAATTAACCCCCCTGCAAGGCATTTACTTTGGGAAGAGGTTCTTAACGTCTCTCCTTGATCATAATAATTGGCATAATCTGTTCCTTTTTTGGCTCTTCAAAACTATGATTGGGGTGAGATGACAAGAATGTTTAGATATGGAGAAAATACTACTGATGAATGTGTGTATGATCAGCTTAATTTAGAGTGCTTGTATTTGAACTTAGATGGCAAAACGTAGGGCATGGATCATTAGCTGTTATAACTGTGGTGTGTGTCCAGGTTACCCTAATCTAGTGTATAAATTTCTGTATCTCTACAGAAGATAATCTCCTCGGACTCAGATATACCAGTGTATCTCAGATGGTTCTGTGAAGAGCAACAATGTACAGAAATTGTAAAATATGTAGATTTTTGAATGTCAGTGATGCAACTCTTCTCTGAGTAAAATGTTGGGGAATATATTTCCCAAATAGATGTGAACAGAGAAATTGGCTTATTTGGTAACACTTCTCAGTCATATGACTTACAGAGTTTTAGTTGCATCTTAAAACGGTTTTTCTTTGTTTTTGCATTTTAATACCAGGCATGATTGGAGCCAATGTGAAAGGACATAACTTACCTTGTGAAAACCAGCCGCTTACATCTCGAATTGCTGTGATATGTGGGACTTCTTCGTGCCACATGGTGGTAGGTTGCAAGCCAAGTCTTGATGCCAGCAGCACAAACTGGGCTGACACCTTTCAGTTTCTTTGCCTTTCTCTGTTTGTGTGTGTCCAGCATACTATGATAGTGACTCTGCCATTTCTTTTAAAATCTGTTGACTATCACATGGAGAAGGTTTGAAAGAACAGATCCAGAAGCAGCTAAGAATCAATAATTGGGGGTAGGGGGAGGCACAAAATGTAAAAGCCATATCAAAAATTATTCTGCTGTGACTTCAACTGGGCACTGTGAAATTGGAAACAGAAATGGCTGGCTTTCAGTAACCCATGATGAGCATGTCATTAACATATAGCAGAATATCTAGTGTCTTTAGAAAAGCCCCTTAGACCTTCATCTCTCCCACTTTCTCACTCAATCAATATAAATCCATCTTGCTCTGAGAGCTCTAATGATCTATGGAATTACGAGATGCATTGTGGCTCCAAAAGAGCCAAGATAAGCAATTTTGCTTCAATAATTTTTCTCACTGTATTAGTGGAAAAGCTTTTTCCTAGGGATTGCAATAAAAGTTTAGTGTCTCTTTTAAAAAAAAAATTAATACCTCTTTTAAAAATGTACATGTCTGAAAGCATTCCATTTTCATGACTAAGCTTTTTAGTCACTTTTATTTCATTTACATAATTTTCTTATGTAGACTGAACTGTTATGTAGAGTTTAAGAAAAGAAGCATATGTGAGAAAATAAGACACGGTTGCATTCTTTAAAAGGGATGGTGTGCACTTTTCTGTATTATTTTGTTTCTTCACATGGATGATATCGGTGCTGAAAAACAGTCATGGCTCTCACGCTGAAAAAAGGACAAATGGCAGAAACGATCATTCATAGTTTCTGCCATTTGTTGTGTAAATGTGTGTGTGTATAGGCCACGAAAGCTGTGAATACAGAATTTATTTGTTATTTAAAAAAGCAGTTTAGAATTTCATATTTAGTTATTCAGCAAGGCATTTTAAGCCTTTGCTGTGTAATATGAATAGTTAAATAATGCCTAGCTAAATAGGAAATTGATTGGGGAACAGTTGCTGTGTTTGTATTGATCTCGTTGTACTTTGTGAAATTATGTAGTGATGGGCCATTTCTCTCAGTGTTGTATGAATGCAACCCGAACAAGTTTATTTGGGCACAACCTTTTGCCTTTTCAGTTTCCTTTATCCAGCTTTCCCTTTAGATTGTGGCCCTCAAAATGTTTGTGGACTGCAGTGCCTACTGTCCATGGAGCTGCTGGGAGTTCCTGTCCAACATCTGAAGGGCCACCATTTGCCCGCTTTTCCCTTCAACTACCTTTCCAAACTTACATGAGACACATGGGTGATGAGAAACAGCTGGCAGCAGCAGTTGCTGTAGACTTTAGGGAAAAATGTTAATGTTAGGAAGCATAGGGAACATGGATACAGTCTCCAGATTCCAGGAGCACTATCTTATGAAGAATGATCCCTCATCGATAAGGGATGCAGGTACACATGCTACTGGCTAGAAGTTAACAAAGTGAAAACACACTAGTTGTCTGCTTTTCAAAACAGACAAAGAACATGGAGAAAAGGGATCCTCATTTGCACCTTTATACCAGTCTTAGAGAAATAAGTGGCTGCTGTCACCATCTGCAGTGATCATGGAACTCAAGAAAGTAAAATCTCCATATCTTCTCCTTCTGTTTGCCAGGAGGTGATGGGACCAGTGGCCATGATCTTAGTTCCCCCCCCCCAACATAAAACTTACAAATATATAAGAAACAGCGTCTTTTTATAAATAGATATGGAGATTTTACTTTCTTGGGCTCCATGATCACTGCAGATGGTGACAGCAGCCACGAAATCAAAAGAGGCCTGCTTCTTGGGAGGAAAACCATGAGAAAGGTAGACAGCATCTTAAAAAGCAGAGACCTCACCTTGCCAACAAAGGTCCGCATAGTCAAAGCTATGGTTTTTCCAGTAGCAATGTTTGGAAGTGAGAGCTGGACCATAAAGAAAGCTGACTGCTGAAGAATTGATGCTTTTGAAGTTTGGTGCTGAAGGAGACTCTTGGGAGTCCCGTGGACTGCACGGAGAACAGATCTATCCATTTTGAAGGAAATCAACCTTGAGTGTTCACTAGAAGGACAGATCCTGAAGCTGAGGCTCCAATACTTTGGCCATCTCATGAGAAGAGAAGACTCCCTGGAAAAGACCCTGATGTCGGGAAAGTGTGAGGGCAAGAGGAGAAGGGGACGACAGAGGATGAGATGGCTGGACAGTGTCATCGAAGCTACCAACATGAATTTGACCCAACTCCGGAAGGCAGTGGAAGACAGGAGGGCCTGGCGTGCTCTGGTCCATGGGGTCACGAAGAATCGGATATGACTTAACAACTAAACAACAACAAAGTGACTGTTTTGGCTTCTTGCTCTTAAAGAAAGATTGAGAAAAATAGACACTCACTTTTATCTTGACAAGGAAATTATTGTGATTGAGATTATTTTTATGAGAAATCTCACAAACCTTCTCAGAGGTTTGGTGATGAACTTTTCTGTAAGAAATACAAAGCTGTGTCATGATTCTTACAATAAGTACTTGCACAAAATGAGATCTTTCTGATACAGGCTTTATCTGGAAAAGACAAAAGAAACATCAGGCTGCACAGAATTATATTTTTCCTATGCAGGGTTCATTCTGAAATTGCAGAAGAAATACGAAACTGCGTAGGATTATTTCAGTACCTGAGAGGGATGGCATCTTTCTTGAGCAGGATTAATCAGAAAGGGTATTAACTTGTTCAACATATAGCAGATTTCTGTGCAGAATAATGAGTAAAAAAAAGGGGGGTTGAGAAGAAAGACCGAGGGCCTCATTTTTAAGGGAAGCTGGGAAATTGTAGTGATCCAGGAGAAAGTATAATCAAGAACTCTCAACATGGCAGTACTCAGAAGATTGTAGGATGTGAGAACTTTTGCAAGTATCCATCATACCATGTTTCCTGCAGAATGTGGCCAAAATCTTATAAAGTCTCCATAACTTACTGTGATTGATTGTGGCTAGTTGATGACTTGCCAAGGCATGTCTCAATTATGTACCTGGTCATACACCCAGATGCATCCTGGTGCCTCACCAATTAGCTGCAATTAGCTGCAGCAAGTTCAGCAGATCGCACGTGAATATCAGTCGGATTGGGACGCATGTGTGCAACACAGCACTACGTATCTAGGACAGTTTCAAAATAATCACCTCCTTGCACATATTTCATTGTTAAGGGTAATGTAATTTCCCATTAGTGGACATCTAACAAATCCAGAGCTGCTCTGGATGGAATACATGGAAAGCCTTTGGATGAAGTACTCTTTTATCTGTACTTGTTTATACTGTGCTGATGACATAGGGCAATTGTGTGTGCCTTTTTAATGAGATGTATATGCAGCTGCAGTTGGTTGAAATTAACTTTACCTTTTTTTAATTAGAGTTATAAAATTTAAGTTTATTATCCTCCATGTTTTTGTTAGAACTCCTTCTCTCCTAGGAGAGAGGGAGCTTATATATAGCTTATTTATTTTTATATATATATATATCCCTTCTCTTAGTAAATGTCTTTGGTATCTGGTAGGAGAGAGGGATATATATATATATATAATCTCTTTGTACCAAGGGACCCTGAGGGCAATAGAGATGAATCATCAGCTTTAATTTAGTGCAGTGGGAGAGAGACCTGTGTGGTCAGGCTGGCATAAAAAAGTGTCTTTGATCTGCTTCAGGTGCACCGAGCCCCAGCGAGCCAAAAACAATAATATCTTTGTGAAATGATCAGAGTGGAGGGTGAAAGAGAGGGGGAGAGGGGTGTCCTGTATGAAAACTCAAGGCTTTCCTTTGTTGTGGTTCTGGCAAACGAAAAAGTCAACTGTCAGGAGAAATTCAGCGAACATAAAGCAGGGTGAAAGTGCAATAGTTGAGTAGTGGGTTTCTTTCAAAGGCTCTTAACAAGAAAGTATTCAAAATAATTTGCCTAGTTGCTTTATTTTCTTGCAAGTGAAGGTAAAAGGTGGCATGGATGAGGAAAGAAGGAGTCATTGAATGGGTCAGACATGTTGTGAATCATATGGGTAGGGTTCCATCAAGGACATTTGCTTCAAAAGTTGCAAAAGATGCTCTAGTATTTTTATGTGTTTGTTTGCTTGCTTTTTAAAAATAATGTAGCCAGGAAATCTCTAGATATTAAATAAGACACGTCAGGCTTTTATTGGTATTGTCTTGGGTGTTGGGAGTAGTCCTGACTGATATTTCATACAGCAAATGCAAAAAAGTACAGTGGACCCTCGACTTACAGACATCTCCACTTACAGACTTTTCGAGTTACAGACTTCTATGGCCGCAAAATTTAGGTTTGACATGCAGCCAGAGAATCGACCTACAGACCGGGAAAAAAAAAACCAAAAAGGAACAAAAATTGCCAGTTACAGATTAATCGGTTTTAATGCATTGTAGGTCAATGGAGCCTTGACCTACAGACTTTTCGCCCTGCAGCCACCATTCCAATATGTAATAATTCCGTAAGTTGAGGGTCCACTGTAGCTGCTACAAATGAGGCACCTGAGAGAAATTCTACTGCCATGAGAAAAGGCCTTTCCATGAAACTGAACTTCAGTAAGGATTTCCTCACCTCCAGTCTCTAATTATGATTACCTAGTTGGCTGAAATTAATTTAGCATAATGCCCAGATTTATTCTCCTGTTTCACTGATGTGAAAACTTGCATCACCTTTTTCTACTGCAGGTGTGCAAAGAGGTCTGTGGTTCATCCAAGGCAGTTGGCATGTCTGGAGCTGGGGAAGGGCAAGGCAAGCTTTGGTTTGCAAAAAAGGGAGAGCCTATAAACTGATACTTTTGTCACCTCTGTCTCCATTTTGTTTTGTTGGGTCTCTGGCTTCATGAGCCTCGGACATTTTATCTCCCCTGATTGTTGAACTGTTTGCTGTAATCCCAGCCTTTATGCCATCTTGGCCTGATG